AACCTAAGACAGAGAGGAGTCCTGGAAACCTGGGAGAGTTCCCTTCCTGCCTTTTCCAGGTCAAGGGAGGGGACTGTCCCTGCTCTGCTCTGCACTGGGGTGGCTTCACCATCAATGTTATGTGTGGTCACTGCAATATAAGGAAGATACTGAGCCGTTAGAGAGTGTCCAAAGATGAGACATGGAGCTGGGGAAGGGCCTGAGGAAAAAATAAATTCAGCAGCAAATCCCAAAACCAAACAGGATGCAGATATCCTGGAAATCAGCAGACATCCAGAGAACCAGACCAAGGTGCCCAAGTTGAGCTCTTCTAAGGCAGGAGCATCCCTTGGGATGTGCACAGCAACTGCTCCATGCATCACAGCACATCTGCCTCATCTCAGAGCGATGCAGAAAGGGACCTGGGGGTCCTGGTCAGTGGCAAGTTGGATCTGAGTCACCGCTGGGTCCTGGCAGCCCAAAGGGCCGCCCTGTCCTGGGGGCAGCAGGCCAGGGAGGGATTGTCCCACTCTGCTCTGCCCTGGGGCAGCCTCAGCTCCAGTGCTGGGGGCACTTTGGGCACCACAAGGTCAGAAGGATCCAGAGCTGCTGGAGAGTGTCCCAAGGAGGGACACGGAGCTGGGGAAGGTCTGAGGAGCGGCTGAGGGCACTTGGCTGGTTCAGCTGGAGCACAGGAGATGAGGGGAGGCTCCTCGGGGGCTGCAGCTCCTCCCGAGGGGAGGCAGAGGGGCAGGGGCTGAGCTCTGGGACAGCTCCTGGAGCCCAGCAAGGGCTGGAGCTGTGCCAGGCCTTGGCATGGAGCTCAGGGAAAGGTTCTTCCCCCCGAGGGTGCTGGCACTGCCCAGGCTCCCCAGGGAATGGTCCCGGCCCCGAGGCTGCCAGAGCTGCAGGAGCGTTTGGACAGCGCTCTCAGGGCTGCTCAGGGTGGGGCTGTTGGGGGGTCTGGGCAGGGACAGGGGCTGGGCTGATGATCCCTGAGGGTCTCTTCCAGCTCAGGATATTCTGTAATTAATTCCTAATGAACTCTCTGATGTCTGTGCTAACCCTCATGGGTTAATGGAGTGGAAGGGGGGTCAGGAAGACATGGCTGGAAGTCATTAAACCCCGGTGAGGTTTGGTGGAGGACTCTGGCATGAAAACCAGACTGTGCTGAGCTCTGGGGAGCTGTGAATTCCCAGTGTCTGGCACAGACAGGAGCCTCCTGGGCTTCACTCCTCAGCCTCTGTGCAGATGTTCAGGGAGGGATTTTTGCTGGTTGTCCTTGACCGATAGGGAAGTAACTTAATTCTTTCCTGCCCCCACCTCTGTCTAATAACAGCCCAGCAAGGCCTGGAATAACTGTGCTTATCTCACAGGCTCTGGGGCTAAAAAGGGCCTTTGAGCTAATCTGGTGCTGCTGAGAATAGCTTTCTGTTCTCCTTTGGTGCAGGTGCCAAGCAGAGAAATTGATAAAGCAGAGGGAAAGTTCTGGACTCACTGGAACAGAGAAACCAAACAGGTAACTGAGGTTTTGTAATGACTGTCCTTAAGGAGAGCAGAGCAACTGGAGACAGTGGCATCAGTTCATTCCTGCTGCCTCTGCTGTTCAAATCTCCATTCTCACAATGCACCTGTGCAGTGAGAGCTGACAGAGATCCTCCTGTGTGGGATCTTGGAGAGGATTCAGTTTCTGACAGCAGCAGCAGGATGGGGCCTAAATACCCGGAGGAAAGGAGGCTCAGGAGGAACCTTCTTGCTCTTATAACTCCCTGACAGGAGGGTGCAGCCAGACGGGGTTTGGGCTCTGCTCCCAGGGAACAGGAGAAAAGACCAGAGGGGAGCGGCCTCAGGCTGTGCCAGGGGAGGTTTAGGTTGGATATTGGGAAAATTCCTTCACTGAAACATTGTCAGGCATTGGAAGAGACTGCCCAGGGCACACCACCCCTGGAAGTGTTCAAAAAAGTGGTTGTGGCATTTGTGGGCATGGTTTAGTGGTGAATGTGGTGGTGCTGCTGGGCTGGTGGCTGGACTTGTTGATCTTAGGCTTAGGTTTGGGTTTTCCCATCTTGATGATTCCATGACAAAAGTGCAGCACAGTGTCCTCTCCCTGGCTCTGTGCCTTGTGTTCCTGCACACACCTGGCTGAGGGAGCCTGGGGCTGGGGGTGCTCCCCTGTATCCAGGGGACAGTGCCTGGGGGGTTCCCACCCCTCACAGGAACCTCAGAGTTCAGAGGAGTTAAAATCTGGGGCAAGACTGGTGCCAGTCACTGATGCTGCCAGGGCTGGGACATCTGCAGGTAACAGGAGGGGCCTGAGCTGTGCTCTGGGGCTGAGAGCAGCTCCTGAGTGCTGGCAGAGCTGTCACCAGGGTGCTGGCACTGCCCAGGCTGCCCAGGGAATGGCCCCAGCCCCAGGGCTGCCAGAGCTCCAGGAGCTCTCAGGGATGCTCAGGGTGGGGCTGTTGGGGTGTCTGTGAGGGGACAGTCCCAGGGTGGGGTTGTTGGGGTGTCTGTGAGGGGACAGTCCCAGGGTGGGGTTGTTGGGGGTCTCTGCAGGGCCAGGGGCTGCTCTGATGATCCTGAGGGTCCCTTCCAGCTCAGGATACTCCAGGATCCTGTCAATCTCTGATTAATTGTTCCCTTTTCTCTGCTTTCCTCCCATTCCCAGTTCTTCCTCCAATTCCACTTCAAGATGGAGAAGCCCCCAGCACCCCCCAACCTCCCCCAGGGCCCCCGACCGTCAAGCGGCCGCCGCCCCCTCCCCTGATGAACGGGCTGCCCCCGCGGCCCCCCCTGCCCGACTCCATGCCCCCCCCTCCCCCTGGGGGCATGGCCCTGCCCCCCATGCCCCCCTCCGGGCCGGTGCCACCCCCGCCAGTGCCCCCCCAGCTGCCCCCAGCGCCCGGGGTGCCCCCCCCTGCTCCCCTGCCCCCCATGATGCGGCCGCCGCTCCCCACCGAGGGGCCGGGCACCATCCCCCCGCCCCCTCCCTCCAACTGAAGCCCTTCCTGGGCTCCATCCCGTGGGATTTGTGTCTTTTTAGCTGCAGCTCAGCCCCGATCCAGGGGACAGATCCTTTTTGTACGTCTGCAAACCTGACTGACTTCTGTAGGTTCATTAAAAGGGTTTTGATTCTCCTTTGCCTCTGGTTCCCTGTGCTGTACTTTCCTTACCCCTTAGATGCAGGAAACATTCCCAGGCTGGTTGTATTTTGGAAATTCTCCAAATAACAGGCAAAAGATTGGGAATCTCAAGGCATTCCCCTCCTGACTGGTGTCTCCATCAGCTGGCTTGCCTATCCCCCCCAGGCTGCCTGATGAGTGTCCCATTAATTACCCCCCATTAATCAGTTTTGATTCAACCAAAGCCCTTCATCTCTGTTCATTCACTGAGGGGGGACACAGAAAGGCTCCTGTTACTGATATTAAATCTTAGTTTATTATTGTCATTCATTAAGTGTCAGTACCATGGGGTAGCACCTGCTGTCACAGGATTTTTAGTGTGTGCCCTCCTCCCACTGACAGCTCTGTTCAGGCAAGTTTTTAGTTCTCTGGGTTTGTTTATCCTGAATGTTTCCTTGCAGCCATCACTTGGTTCCCATAAAAAGCAGCAGCAGTTCTGCCATTTCTCTGCCCTTTCCCAGGTTCCTGTCTCTGAACTGGGGGATCAGTGGGGGATCCTGGGGGGCTCAGTGGGTGAGGGCATGGCCAGGGCCGGGGTTCCTGACCAGTTCTGGTTGTTTGAGGGGCCACAGGAGCCCTGCAGCTGTACCCCCTTGATGGGGGAATCAAAGCCTTCCTCTCTGCTGCTGGGCTGAGATGGTCCCAGTCATTCACAGAATCCCAGACTGGTTTAATTGGGAGGGACATGAAATCCCATCTTGTGCCACCCCTGCCATGGCAGGGACACCTTCCACTGTCCCAGGCTGCTCCAAGCCCTGCCCAGCCTGGCCTTGGGCACTGCCAGGGATCCAGGGGCAGCCACAGCTGCTCTGGGCACCCTGTGCCAGGGCCTGCCCACCCTGCCAGGGAACAATTCCTGCCCAATCTCCCATCCAGCCCTGCCCTCTGGCAGTGGGAGCCATTCCCTGTGTCCTGTCCCTCCAGGCCTTGTCCCCAGTCCCTCTCCAGCTCTCCTGGAGCCCCTTCAGGCCCTGCCAGGGGCTCTGAGCTCTCCCTGGAGCTTCTCCCCTCCAGGGGAGCACCCCCAGCTCTCCCAGCCCGGCTCCAGCCCTGGAGCAGCTCTGTGGCCTCTGTCAGCTGCTGTAGAAGTGACCTCGGGCTCCTCCAGCCCTTGCTGTGTGTCCATGTCCCGCTCCAGTTTGGGTGCTCCATCCTTTTCTGATGATCCTGAGCTCCAGGCTGCAAATACTTGGAAACTCAGGGAAGGGTCTGGACCTTTTTTTGTCGAGACCTTCCCCCTCGCCAAAATCAGGAACTCTCTTGGGATGGGTTTCCAGGATGGTTTAGGCAGGTGATTGGCAATTCCAGCTGTTCAGTGTGTCCAGGCATCTCACGGAGGGACAAGTCTTTACCACGGTGTGTGTGAGACTGTCTAAGGGAGGTTCTGAGTGCTCAAAGTCCTCAGGCTGCTGCTGCCCCTCATGATTCTCATTCCCAGGATGAAGCCCTATTCCAAGGCAGCCTGTTGAGCTGCAGGGTGAAGGTTTTCCAGGCAGAAGGAGGAATGCTTTCCATACATTTACTTATTTCAACCTAATATCTGCCCCTGTCCCCCTCCTCCTGCTCTGGCTCGCTTCCCCTCCCGGTGTTTCAGTGCTGATGGGGTCGTACGTGCCAGTCCCCACGAGGATCCCATTCCAGACACTCATCCTCCTTTAGAAAAACATCCAAAGTCAAGGCCGTGCATCCCTACGAGCGAGTGCAACAGTTTCGATCTTTGCACGTTTCCAAAACGAGCTGCAGACCCAAAAATAGAAGAAAAAAAGTTTCTTTGCCACCTCCCTCCTCCTCTGCAGCGCGACAGCCCCAGGGCGGCCCAGGGGAGGTTGTTGTGCCTCGGCCACTCAAGGCCACCCTGGTTAAAAGGGAGAGCTGTCCTCCCTGTGCCTGCCGAGGGCTTGGGGTGCCTGAGCTGCTCCAGGGCGAGCTGAGGTGGGACCATGAGCGCTCTCGGGGGGCTCCTGCCTGTGCCTGGTGCTGCTGCTCCCCTCCGCAGCTCTGCCCAGGAAGGAGGGAAGGGATTCCCCGCTGGAAGCAGAAGGGAGAAGGGTGGCAAATGGAAGTTTACAGGAGACACCCAGGTCCAGGAGGGCTGCTGCCACTCGCCTCTTCTCCGAGGCTGAGCCGGGAGCCAAATGCCCTCAGGGGGAGGCTGAGGAGGGCGGCCCGGGCTGGTCCCGCTCTGGCCCGCAGCCCTGGCCCCTCGGGGGCCTGGAAGGGCCCGTGTGCAGGGTGAGGATGGAGCAGGACGGGGCCACCGCGAGGCAGCTGGAGGTGGTGGGTGTGCTCAGCCACTACGAGAGCAGCTTCATCAGACTGCTGAGACGGCGCCGGAGCTGGGACGGGAATTTCCCGGGGACCTTCGGGCTGTGCCGGCCCGGGGAGGCCGGGGCTGCTCCCCATCCCCTGCAGAGGATCCACGAGCATGTGCTGGAGCCGGGGCTGGAGAGATTCCTCGTCCTGCACCTGGAGGAAGGTTGGTGGGAGAGCCCCGCAGGCTCCGAGGTGGAACGGGGAGGGGAAGGATGCAGGGCTCGGGGTGGTGATGCTGTTTGCTGGTCCGAAGTCAGGGTTTTAAACACAGAATTAAATCTGGGGGTTGGGTTTCCCGTTAAAAACAGTGAAGTGATGGAGTGAAATGTTTCTGGGCATGCTTTTAAGGAGGTGACGATGGCAGCGTGGCTCTGCCATCTGTCCCCACTCTGACCAACCCCCAGGTGCCACATTCCAGCGGCGTTTGGGACACGCTCTCAGGGTGCACAGGGTGGGATTGTTGGGGTGTCTGTGCAGGGACAGGGGTGGGACTGGTGATTCTTGAGGCTCCCTTCCAGCTCAGGACATTTCTGTGATTCTTGGTGGCTTCTGCTCTGTTCTCATCAGTGTTTCTCACTCCCTGCCTTCACACGGCAGACGGGTTTGGGTCCCATCCCAGCTCTGGGGAGGAAGAAAGGGCTCGGACCCAGCTGCTGCCGCTGTGCCGGGAGCCCGGCAGGTGCTGATGTGGAAACAGCCCCGGGTCCTGGGCTGCTCCTGTAGCTTCAGCCTTATGGGAAAACCTCACCACACATTCCCCTGTCCATCCCGGAGTGATCCCTGGAGAGGGAGTTACACTCTCCAATTTAATCCGTAGCGGGAGGGCGGTGATTGTTTCTTTCGTCCCGAAATCCTCCGCCTCTCCTGGGGTTTTGGGTTTCCAGCTGGACTCAGCAGTGCCGGCCAGCGGGGAAGTGGCGCTTCCCCGGGCAGTGGCCACAACGTCCCGAGCCACTGGAGAGCAGATGCCCATGGGGCCTGGGGGGTGCAGGGTGTGTCCCGCTCTCCATCTCCCTGGAGCCGGGGCTTTGCTGCGACCCTTCTCCCCCTCGGCTCCAGCCCCGGTGCTCTGGTCCCTTCACGGGGACAGGGCTCGGCCCGAAGCCCCTTCCTCACCCCCCGGAACCCCGCGGCGCCCCGAGGGGATTCACGGCCGTGTCTGCCCCGTTCCAGTGCAGTGGGAGGCGCAGGTGAAGCTGCGGTTCCAGCTGGTTTTTCCAGGCGGAGGTGGGACGGGCCTGTGGGAGAGCTGCAGGCGGCCGTGATGCTCTTCTACTTGGGCCGCCGGGAGGGCCGGAGCTCCGGGTCCCCGCAGGAGCTGCTGGCCACCGGCCCGGGGCTGGCGCGGGACCAGGTGGGTCCGGGCCTTGGTGGGCGCAGGGGGCGGAGGGGTGTCCGGCTCTGCTGCCCAGTGCCACTGTCATCCCTCGCAGTCCACTCAAACAGCTCCCTTTGCTATCCGCTCCCAGTTCATTCATCCTTCCCCCAGTCCAATTCAGCATCGCCTCCCAATCCATTCAGCATCCCCTCCCAATCCATTCAGCATCCCCTCCCAATCCATTCAGCATCGCCTCCCAATCCATTCAGCATCCCCTCCCAGCCCCTTTGTCGCCCTCCAGCCCCTTGCCAACCCCTCCCAGTCCCTTTGCCGTCCCCTCCCAGCCAGCTCCCGCCGTGCCTGAAGATGGAGCTCTCACCCTGTCCGCGGGGCCAGCGGGGCCGCCCGGGTCGGGGCTGGGGATCCCCCGCCTGCCCCTCGGGGGTTCAGGGGTTCCTGCGCCCCGCGGCCCCCGGAGCAGCTCTGGGGCTGAGGGCGAAGCTCACAGCGCTCCCCACCCTCCCTGTCTCTGCTCCCTGCGCCACCGCGGGCGGGGCGAGCCGGAGCCCACAGGGAGCACAGCGGGGCTCAAGGTGAGTGTGTCCCCCGCGATGTCTCACCCACGCCCTCGGGCTTTCTGCGGTTTCTGCCTCGGTGCAGAGGCTCTGCCTCTCCAGGGACACGCAGTACCTGGCCCTGGCCGCCGCCGCAGCCTCCGTCACCCGCAGCGCGGAGCGGCTCCGCTTCTCGGCTTCCCTGGCCATCCACGGCGCGGGAGGTAGGGACGGGGGACACCCTGGGACAGCAGCATCCCTGCCCTCGTGTCCTCTCTAGGGCGTTTGGGGTCCTCTCAGGCCCACGAGAGGCGCTGGGGACATGCAGGAAACCCCAGACCGACGTTCTCCCCTCTCGTGGCCGCAGCAGGTGCCCCCCTGCCCCGCGCGGAGGTGCAGCAGCTCCTGTTCGGCTCCGATGACAAATGTTTCACCCGGATGACCCCGGTGCTGCTGCTGCTGGCCAAGTCACGGCAGCAGGAGGAGGAAGAGGAGGAAGAGGAGCCTTTGGGCCCATCCTCCTACCTCTCTGCCGAGGGGATGGTGGACACAGCTCCGTACCCACAGCTCAGGTCCGTGGCCATCACTGCGGGCACAGGAAAACACAGGGGCTGGGAGATGAAGTGGGACAGGGACAGCCCCAGCTGTGGGACCATGGATGGCTGTAGGGCACAGCCTGGTGGGACCCCCGGGCTACACGGGGTCCCGTGACTCTCCCTGTGTTCTCCTTGCAGCCCACCCCAGGCTGGCACCGAGGCGCTGCCGATCCCCACTGCCCCGAGCCACGGCAACACCTCGTCCCCAGCACCCGGTGGCAGCGCCCAGTTCCTGGCAACCCTGACCCGGTTCATCCGGCAGCTCCTGAGCTCCTCCAGCGAGCCGCCGCCCCAGCCCAGTGCCCACCACCGGCTGGACTTCGAGGTGATGGAGAACCTCCCTCACCAGCTGCTCAACCTGTCGGAGGAGGCGGCGCTGGAGCGGTTGGTGCAGTCGGAGGAGCCCTCGGTGCTGCTGCTGCCCCAGGACAGCGGGGCCGTGCTGGAGCAGCACCTGGGGACTGGCAGCCGGAGGGCACCGTGCTGCAGCTGCTGATGGGCAAACTGCAGGTGGTCATCCAGGAGCTCAGGGACATCCCGGCTTTCCAAGCCAACGCGGCGCTTTTCCAGCACCTCCTGACCTTCTGCTACTACCCAGCCGAGCCGGGGCAGGCCGAGGCGGCCGAGGGGAGCCGGGCTCTCGGAAGCTGCGCACGCTGCTGCTGCTGAAGGCGCTGCAGTCGGTGCGGGCGCGCTGGCAGGAGCGCAGGAAGGTGCAGCGGCAGAACCGCAGCGCCCGGCACCAGGCGCACTGCCGGCTGCAGGAGCTCACCATCGACCTGCGCGACCGCCACTTCATCATCATGCCCACCATGTACGCGGCCAACAACTGCGAGGGGCCCTGCCGGCTGCCGCTCTCCGCGCGCATCCCCAGCTACTTCTCGCACACGGTGCTGCTGCTGGGCATGCAGGACCAGGGCTCGCCGCTGCGCAGGGCTCCGTGCTGCGTGCCCGTGCGCTACTCGGACCAGCTCATCATCAGCCTCTCCTCGGACGGGCTGGAGATCCGCAAGTTCCCCAACATGGTGGCAGAGGAGTGCGGCTGCCGGTGAGGCTCCCACCGGCCTCCCCGCTCACCCCACCCCGGTCCCTCTCCCGGTTTGCCCTCCCGGCTCGGGATCTGGTGCTTCTCCCGAGACGGGAGCTCCCGTGTGTCCTTTCCCCATGGTTTGGCTCGTTAGCATCGCTCTGGTTCTGGGTTCATCCATGCCTGTCCCTGGGGCTGCTCCATGTTCCGCTGGGGATGTGCCCCTCCCGCTGCTGAGGGTGCCCGAGGTGCCCGTGGGCTCGGACTTGGCTGGGTACGGGCACGGCAGGGCCGTGGGGCGAGGACAAAGCTTGGCAGATCCAGATTCTTATTTATCGCTCGCTCTCTGCTCCTGTAGTGGCTGGGAAGGGCAGCTGCTGCTTCCTCCAAGCCTTGCAGCATCCTCTGGCCATTCCTCAGCCCACGGCCCATCACGGGACCCCTGTGACAGCAGAGCAAGAGGCCAAATCCCCTCGCAGAGCCCAGCCTGGCCCTGGGGACACGTCTCTGTGTGAGCTGCGGCTGTGAGGAGCCGCTGGCCGTGTTCTGGGGCTCCGGGCCAGGTCACATCTGCGTCACCCCGCGCTGACCCCGGGAGGGGAGGAGGGAGCGATCCCGTTTCACCTCCCGGGCTGCTCACACCATTAATGGGAGCAGGAGCAGCCGGCTGCCGCAGCACCTGCTCCGCGTCCCCGCCGGCCTCAGCTCCGGCCGCCTGCCCCAGATCATCTTCCAGCTGAGCCCGGCCCTGGGAGCAGCTCCTGGGCTTGTCCTGGCTACACCTCCTCGGGTTTTGCAGTGTCCCCACGGGGAGGCCCGGCTGGAGGTTGGTACCCCCAGTTCCATCTCACAGCCCTGCAGGATTAACCCTGAAAACACACCCACACATAACCAGGGACAAAACACATAACCAGGGACAAGGGCTTTTCTCGTTTTCCTTTTCCCCCCCCTATTTTTAAAAAGCATTCAGTTGAATACCTTATTAAAAATGAAAATAGTTTATTTTAACTGCTGTTGATTTAGCAAATACTGAAACCTGCCATGGGTCGGGGCTGTGAACATCTCTGGCTGTGCTATTGCTCTTGTGTTTCCTCCCTAAAAGCGACTCGGAGAAGGCGAGGCCCACAGGGATCCCCGGGTGAAGGGCTCCAGCCCTGCTCTGTCACCTTCTGGGCCACCCTGCAGCGATGGCACTGGGCTGGGGAGGTCGGGGTCTGTCCCTGGTGTCCCTCTGAGGACGGCTGCAGCCTGGTTCTGTAACCCAGAATATTCTTCTCTCCTGATTTGCTTTCAATAAAACCATTAACCCAAGAGCTGCACAGTCTGGACACAACTCTGTTCACCCCGGAACCACGAGTGCAGGGGAGCTGCAGAGGGGTTTGGGTGGGGATGGAGAAGTAAGGAGGCCCGAAGAAGCTCCTTCCATGAGTCCTTTCAGGTCGCCTTTGATCCAGGGGACCCAAAGTCCCCGGGGAGGCTCGTGCCAGGCTCCTGGGCTGCTCTGCTGCTCGGGGTCCTGGCGTGCTGCCCGTGCCCGGGGTGTCTCTGGAGGGCAGGTAGGCCGGGGGTCCCTTGCTGGGGCAGTGGTGGGGTTGGATCCCCCTGGATCCAGCGCTGTCGAGCCCCATGCCCACCCCGGCCTCAGTCGCGCCCTCCCTCCCTCCCTGCCCCTCCCAGGGCCTCCTGCCCTTCTGCTGCTTCCACCCCCCCCCTCGGGCTGTCCCTCGGGCTGTCCCTCGGGCTGTCCCTCGGGCTGTCCCTCGGGCTGTCCCTCGGGCTCCCGGCCACCCTCAGCCCTGCCGGGACGGCCCTCCACCCCTCCCTCCTGGGCTCATCCCTCTCCCGCCGTCTCTCCTTCCTCTCCTCCTCCCGGTCTCGCTTCTTCTGGGGCTGCTGCTCGGCTTCCCTGGGGGCCCTCTGCCAGTTTGTCCCCCGCTGTCCTGTCCTTGGCTCGTGCCTCCCTCCGGCTGCTCCGTTCCACATGGACAGCACGGCCTTCCCGGGCTTTCTCCTTCTTCCCTCCTTCTTCTTCTCCTCCTTCTCCTCCTCCTCCTCCTCATCCTTCTCATTCTCCTCCTCCCCTCATCCTTTCTCATTCTCCTCCCTCTCATTCTCTTTTTCTTCTCCTTCTCCTCTTTCTTCCTCTTCCTTCTCCTCCTCCTTCTCTACTTTCTTCTCCTGGCTCTTCTTCCCCTCCATCACAGTCACTGGCACCTCGAGGACATCTGCAGGTTCTTCATCCTCATCCTCATCTCTTCTCCTCATCCTTCCCCACCTTGTCCTCACTCTGGTGTTGCGCGGCCAAACCACTTCTTGAGATCCAGGGTTCTGCCTGTGGGACAGAGGGGACCGGGAGCTGAGCGCAGCCCAGGGACCGGGACCCCTCTCCTGCCCTGGGGACAATGCTCCCTGCCCCGGGAGGTGCCACCACCCTGCGTACCAGGTTGCTGTCAGCTTCGCTGTCATCGTAATCGTCACCGTCATCATCACCATATCCTCCACCGCGCTGCTCTCCGGTGGCGGCTCAGGCTGGCGGTCACCGCCTCTGGGATCTCCGCCTTGGGGCTCACGGCCTCTGGGAGGGACAGGGACAAGGACAACTGTCAGCTGTGGGATATCCCAGCCGGGGGCTCCCAGGCCACCCCAGCCTGGGATGTTCCGTGTCTCAGGATCGGGAGGGTCGGACCCACCGGGAACGGGGGCGGCGGAGCGGAGGTTCCTGCCGGCCGCGGGCGAGTCCCTCCTTGGAGCATGGAGCTGCAGGAGAGGAGGGGACAGGAGCCAGGGGGTGGCAGCGCGGTCTGGCCGCCCCTTCCCGCTCCGTCCGCCTCCCGACTCACCTTGGAGCACCTGGAAGGTGACGCTGAGCAGGGCCACCACGGAGGCCACCAGGATGCACTTGTTGAGGGTGAGCCCTTCCCAGAGCAGCGGCTCTCCGCAGGGTCCAGGCTGGGCGGCTCCACCTTGCTCTGCACCGGAGGGTCCTGGGGACTGGGACACCCGGGGAAAATGTTCTGGAGGGAACTGGGAGAGGCAAAGGGCTCTGAGCTGGGGCGTGGGAAGAGCTCTTAACATCCTGCACAGCCCGCTCGGGACAGGACAGGGACAGGACAGGGACAGGGACAGGGACGGGACAGGGGCAGGGACAGGGACAGGGGCGGACAGGGACAGGGACAGGGACTGGGCAGGGACAGGGGCAGGGGCAGGGACAGGGACAGGGACAGGGACAAGCAGAGGGCAGGGGACAGGGACAGGGAGGCGGGACAGGGACAGGGACAGGGACTGGGGCAGGGACAGGGACAGGGGCAGGGACAGGGACAGGGACAGGGACAGAGCAGGGGCAGGGACAGGGACAGGGGCACAGGGACAAGGAACAGGGACAGGGCAGGGGCAGGGACGGGGACAACGGGGACAGGGGCAACAAAGGGACAGGGAAAAGGACAGGGACAGGGACAGGACAGGGAAAGGGACAGGACAGGGCAGGGACACAGGACAGGACAGGGACAGGACAGGGACAGGGCAGGGACAGGGACAGGGCAGGGCAGGGGCAGGGCAGGGACAGGGACAGGGACAGGGGCGGGGACAGGAGCTGCTCCTGCCACGTTTTGCACTGCAGGAGTGGGGACAAGAGTGTCCCGGGGGCTGAGACCGAGGGGTTTGGGCCATGGTGGCATTAGAGACACGGGATTGTGCCTCTGTGGCCACCTGGGGCCAGGTGCCCATTCTGGGGCAGGGAAGGGCTTCCCCACACACCCACCTGGCGGCCCGGCAGCGCTGCCCTTGGCTCCCACCTTCTCTCCCGCTTCTTCTCCGCCGCTTTCCTGTCCCGCCGGGCGGGGCTGGCTCGGGCATGTCCGGCTCCTGTCCCCGCCTCGGGCTGCTCCGGGTCCTGCTGGAGACACCGCGCGGGGATTCTCCTGCTCTATTCCCTGCGGGAGGGCACAGAGCGTGCCCGGGGCACAGGGACACGCTGCTGCGGGGGTCACCGGGGCTGAGCCGGTGCTGCCCAGCGAGAGGCACCAACCCGGCTCCTGCAGCACCTGGGGTGAGTGTTCACCTCGACAGCCTTAAAAGTGGATTTAGCCACGAGTTAGCCCCGGCACACGCGGTAGGCTGGCGACTGAGGGCCCCCAGGCTGTGCTGGGGATGCCCCCGAGCAGCCCTCGGGCTGGATTGGGGCTGCAGCACCCACCGAGGGCAGGCGCGATGTGCGGGGGGCGCAGGGAGCCGCGCTGCGCTCCGGGCTCGCTGCTGAGCGGGGTTTGGTGGCCGGGCTGGGCGTTGGTCAGTGCCACCAGGGAGAGCTGCCCACCGGCACGGATCAGTGACAGCGACAGCTGAGGGACCTTGGGCTGCCCCGGGATGGACGTGCTGCAGCACTGCCGGGCGGAATGTCACTGCGGGACAGCCCCAGCCCGGCCCCCGGCCCCTGCCCCGGCACAGAGAGCCATCCCTGGCACCCCTGCTCTGAACAGGGATCCATCCCAGGCACCCCTGCCCTGCCCTGGCACAGACATCCATCCTGGCACCCCCTGCCCTGGCACAGGGATCCATCCCAGGCACCCCCTGCTCTGAACAGGGATCCCTCCCCTGCACCCCCTGCCCTGCCCTGGCACAGACATCCATCCCTGGCACCCCTGCCCTGGCACAGGGATCCATCCCTGGCACCCCCTGCTCTGAACAGGGATCCATCCCTGGCACCCCCTGCCCTGGCACAGGGATCCATCCCCAGCACCCCCTGCCCTGCCCTGCCCTGGCACAGGATCCATCCCTGGCACCCTCTTCCCTGGCACAGTGATCCACCCTGGCACCCCCCTGCCCTGCCTGGCACAGGGATCCATCCCCAGCACCCCTGCCCTGCCCTGGCACAGGGATCTATCCCTGGCACCCCCTGCTCTGAACAGGGATCCATCCCTGGCACCCCCTGCCCTGGCACAGGGATCCATCCCCAGCACCCCTGCCCTGCCCTGGCACAGGGATCCATCCCTGGCACCCCTGCCCTGCCCTGGCACAGGGATCCATCCCCAGCACCCCAGTGCCCTGCCCTGGCACAGGGATCCCCCGGCACCCCACCCTGCCTGGCACTCACATGGGCTCCGCCGCTCTCCCCGAGGCTGTGGCTGCTCACCGGAGCGTTGGCATCTGTCCCAGACCAGCACAGCTCCTGCAGTGACAAACCTGGGCAGTGGGAATCACCGGGACTGGGGGGCCCTCAGTGACACTCCCAGCCTGCAGAGAGGGGACATCTGGCCATGGTCCCCCTGTTGGTGTTGCTGTGTCACCCATGGATGGAGAGAGGTGTCCCAAGTCAGGCAAACCCCCCCAGGCATTGAGGGGGTGCAACGGGAGTCTGAGCCCCAAAATGTCACCAGCGTGGGGTGTGGCAGCCAAAGGGACAACGACCTCCCTGCCAAGGCACGTAGGGGGACCAACAGCCCAGGGTGTGCTCAGACACCCCAAAAACACAAGGGAAGACCAGGAGAAATGGAACCAGACCACCGAAAGGAACTCAAGGGAGCTCAGGGAGGACTCCCAGGCCTTGTCCCAGCTGAGGAAGAGAGCAAATGGAAGCCCAGGGCTCTGACAGCAGGAAGGGCTGCGGAGGGGTTGGGCTCTTGGGTCCCGGGGGTTTCTTTGCCCTGGGAGAGCTCCAGGGGTGGGATGGCACCACAAGGTCCCAGCAGCACTGGCCTCAGCCCTCTTGGCATCTCCGAGCCCAGTGCCTCAGGTGCCACATCCTCCCAGAAGGAAGAATTTTTGCCCCCTTTGAGCCAGATATTTCCCCCCTGTGGAACACTGGGGAAAAGATACCAGTACCCAGGATGGAACCTACAACTCAGTGTTGGAAGCAGAACAGACAAATAAGAGGAAACCTTTTGACCATGATCTGAAAGATCTTTGCTTTCAAGAGGAAATAAAATGAGTCTGTGGTTTGTTTAAGTGCTGTAAGTCTGGTCCTTTCTGTGCTGGGAAGGGACGGAGCTGCCCCAGGACTCTCGTGGGGCCTGGGGGGGTTCCAGACCCAGGGGAGGCACAAAGGTGGAGAACTTTTCTTCAAATTGTTTCCCCTGACGTGCTTGCCCTGTGTTTGAGCTTCTCAATCATTCCCCTGGTTTTGGGCACAGATGAGCACCAGGAAGGTGGAGGAGAGCCTGAGCCTCTGTTCCTCTTGTCCCTGGCCATGATCATGTTCCCATGGAGGTGGTGTCACACAGGTGTCCCTCAGTGCACGAGGTCACCCTGTGAAGTGACACCACCACGAAGAACCATCTCTGCCAGGCTGAGCTGTGTCCTGTAGAGTCTCACACACCTC